CGTTTCCAATTGTTTGGCCTCGCTCTTTATTTGTAAGTGTAGAAAAATATCTCTTCTTTATCGTCTTTTTATATGATTTACTTCAAAATTGATGCCATTTTTCGAAGGTATGGCTGCATTCGAAGCCGTAAACTGTCATCCGGATACAACACATTTGCCACCAACGAGTGAACGACCACCATTCCAAGATTGTGGACTATGCCCAACAATTGTTCAGAACATAAGGAATGCGGTTAAGAAAAACCCAACTGCAGTGAGTGTTTTATTTGTAAGCAATCAATTCGGACGAACGGCTAATTTCTTTCGATTGAATTTCTCGATAGGAACGCGTTCAACTTGTATTCAACGCCAACTGTTACCCTTCCAGCCGAGTAATAGATCCTAAAGCAATAATACCTGGACACAAGTGCGAGAAATATAGACCACACATGGAACAATGTGCACCGCTAATTGCCAATTTTAATATTCCTGCTAATCGTATTTGCGATATATTTAAAGAATGCAGGTGGATACATCCATAAATACCACCATGCCTCGGAACGCAAAACGACTCAAAACTGTATCGTACATTGCGTACGATAGTATTGAGCGGGAACTATAGATTAAAAAAAAGAAAACGCAATTTATAGTTTTTATTTCCAGTTTTGAATGTTTCATTTTAATATAATTAAAAATGGCTTCACATGTTTAGTTTAATTTAAAATTTACTAATTCAGGTTGTTAAGTTGGAATATCGTTTTGCATTTTATAGAAAGCAAAAAAGAAAACGAAATGAAAAATGAAAGAAAAAAAAATTTGCTGAACAATTTATTCAATAAATATTAGCTAAAAATAAATATATGTCTTTTGTCTGAATCGTATCATTAATTTCTATATTCATGCGATTGAGAGAAAATATGGGCGCGTATAAATTGTTTGTTGATTCAGACAGTCGCGATTTGTATGCTTTTTTAAAAATGAATTAATCATTGTTTTTAATTAACGAATGTTTTTGTAGTTGCTACGACCTAATTTTGGTTTTTAAAATTTTGACACATGTTCTTGTGCTGAATTTGATTTTGAAGACTTTGAGTAGAAAGTAAGTAATAAAGCGTTTTTCTATCGATTTAAATTTAAACGAAAAACATATGCGAAATCACAAAATGGAGCTAAAAATAAGGAGAGATAATTTTTTGTTGTCGGTTAATTCTGTGCTAAATTCTCATAGCCATAACATAAATTTAATCGAAAACGGAACTAACAGAAAGAAAAAAGACCTTCTACACATTAAACTATATCAAACGTAATGGTTTATTATACGAATTATCAACAGCAAGATTTGTTTTTTGTTTTATTTTTGCAAGTTTCGTGTGTGTTTATTAGTATATTGTGGTGCAAACGGTGATGCTGAGTAAAGTTCTACAAGTGACTTCTTACAGAAGCTAAAATTTAATATCCAGGCGTTTCACTTTTTGTGTTTGGTTTTGCTTTGGTTTGGCTCACATGTAATACACAACGCGACAAATATATTGGATTATTATTAGCTGAGTGTTAAGAGGTTAAAAGTGAGTAAAGCATAATTAATTTACAACATTGTTAGTCGTTTGTATGCAAAGGGATTCGAATCAAAGATTTCAATGGGTTTTCTTGTCAATTTCACAATATTTACACATTGCAACGACTTAAGCATTTTGTTTGTTTCTATGTCAAATTTTGGCTTTGTTCCAAAGTGCTTCCAAAGGGGATTATTCTACTAGTTTTCTTCTTTGATGCACTCTTTCCAAGGTCCATAATTGCAATCTCATAATTGCAATCGTGCACTATATACTTTAAATGTAATTGAACGTGCACGATTGCAATCGTGAGCGATCGTGAGCTTTGAAAATAGTGCCTTTAAATAAATGTTTCACTAATTTATGCATATTTTACTGTGGTTGTTGTTGTTTTTGTTATCGAATGAATGATCGTTCCTTCTAATTTATAACTATACCCGTATAGTGTATTATTATTGGACAATGTTGTTGAAGTTTGATTAGTGATACATTAACCGATTCAGTTGTTTGCTGCGAAATGATTGCGGCAATTCAGTCAGCACAAAATAGACTGCCCTTGCCATTGGGCATTGGGATGAGAAATGTTTTGCTTAGTTTGCGGGCGAACATATAATACGAACGAAAACAAAAATTCGATCAATTCCATAGGTAATATTCATCACATAGAATACTAAAAATCATAGCTCCAATTCAATTGTCCATTTAAAAGCGGGAATTCCCATTGAAGATTTTTTTTTCGATTTTAAATTTTATATATCTAAATTTTTTTTTCAATCACTTCTCTTTTTACGATTAGTGCGTTACACACATACTTTTTACTAAACGAACCAAGTTTGTTTTTTAGATCGATGAAATGTATTCATCGATAAAGATTATCATTAATGTTCAGACATTTTTGTGTGTGATAGAATAGCATTTTTTTTTTCATTAGACTATTTCAAATAAGTAAGTGACAAAGTGCAAAGAGTTAATATATACACAAAATTAATAAATTTCTGGTAAAGTGATTGATTGTTTACGAGTGCAAGTAAAAAACATTCATGTGCAATTCTTAAATCCGAAAAGATTCAATTATATACTGAACTATGGAGTTTGTTAAATATCGGTTAGTGAAGTCTGATCGATTGATCGAATCGAGAAGAAGTGAGAATGAAAAACATATAATTATTACACAATTGGCCAATTATTATTAATATACATATTTAAAAACACATTCGCCCTAATTAATAAATAAGAATGCGACATTTCTTGTTGGATACACTTTTAGTTGTTTCAAATAATTGAATTCATGAGCAATGATTTCATTACTTAACCTATAGAGAAAAAAAAATGATTTTTTTGTCTGTAATTTCGCTAATAAGTTCATTTGTTAATCAGTGTTTTTTCTTCTTCTTCTGTTAAATCATCGGTACAAATATATTCTTTGATGAATTTCTCCATTTTTTTTCTTCTTCTTCTAAACATGGTCGCATATTTATATCGCTGTGAGACGCATTGTGCTCAACACTTACAACAACTACAAAATGAAAACATTAACATTAATAATACTTAAATCGATACGGTTTGGTTTTGTGTTCCATTTTGCTCTCTCAGCATCAATACGAACAAAAGCAAAAATTCAATGCGCTTTTTTTTACGTCACACATAATAGCTTATTTTTATGTTTGTCTCTCGAAATTTTGATGCAAAATCCATTCATATCATAAAATATCAAATAAATGCAAAATCGAATTTTATCATTAGAAGAATTATGTTATTTATAAATCACACTAGATAATATTGGTTGAAAAAGGGTTGATTTTGTCAATTTAATGAAAAAAAAGACACCTTATAATGGGATTTTTCAAAAATCCGTTAAAAAGTCAAAGCGATCAGCATTAACACCGACTGAATTTGAAAACAACACGTGCGAATGAATGGCAAATCGATCAATTGACATTCATTCAATTCTCTGAATATCTTACGAATTCAATTTGTTTTTTCTTTTAAATTTTTAAGTGAGGCTTTTTTTCCACATTGCACAGGACTTTTCTGAATTCATTCAACGAAGAAAAAAATTAAGATTTTTTCATTGAAAAAATGAAAAATAAGCCATTTGTTTGAAAATACAAAAGATAAACGATAGAAGCGTTTGAAAGGCACGATGAGAAGAAATCGTGCTCCTTCAAAAAATGGCCTAGCGGCCACATTTAACTTTAAACGCCTCACCCAAAATAAGCTCGAGAAAAGAAATGCGGTACCGTCGTCGTATTCCCTAAACTACAACATAAATGAATTTAAATGGGACACATTGAACAAAATTAAAGCGCGTTGACAAAAATTACAATTAATTTTTTTCCGATTTTTTTTTTCTTTCAATATTTTTTGGCATGCTTTTTGTGCAAAATACCGAAGTGAATGTCAGCTAAGATTAAAAAAATGAATAAAATTCAAACATTTGACGGCATGTTGTGTCACATTTGGTCTAAGTCTTTTTTACACTTTAAATGTGCCATCAATGCCGAGGCCGTCTGATGTCATTGTGATAAAATCTATAGCTACTTTGCAAAAACAAAAAAACGTTTTTTTTTATGTGAGTGTGTTTAAAACGATCGAACAACAAAAATTTCCTTACTAGGTAAGCTTTCTGTGGTGCAAATTCAAGAGATTCACCAAGCATTCACATGTTAATACGAACTCTAAACATAAGTCTTCTTTTTTCCATTTTGTTTTAAAGACAGAAAAACCAACAAACGATTCACAAGTGTTTTACAAATACACATTACATACAGTCAGTTCGGTTCTGTTGATTGTATAAAAAATATATTCCCTTTTCGGTTGTGTTTTTTTCTTCCTACATTCAGCATGTTCTTTGATTTCTTGTCTACTCTTCCTGGTTCCGCTGTTTAATCTTGGTTCAGTATATAAATATATACGCAATTTAAAATGGTGAATCTATTTCAAACGTTGGGTTACATTTGCCAGCGCAACGCTAAACGCTTGCAGTGCTGAGAATGGATATTGAAAATCAAGCGTATAAGCATTTCCATCGATGCGTCCAAATTGCATGACCTATTTTTTTGTGAATGAGTGAAGAGAAAACCGAAGAAAAACGGAATAATAAATAAGAAGGAAAATTGGTTGAGACACTTTTCCATCTCTCGGAAAAAAATGGAATGCAATTTGCATAATAAAACGACATTGAAATGTGGAACATGGCGTTTTACGTACTTGCTTGCCACGGAATTCGATTTGAAAGTTTTTCGCCGATTCTTGTGTAACTCGGCCGCCAAAATCTAATTGGTACACCTAAAATTGGAGGATGATAATTAAATTATATCATTTTCATTTTAAGCATGTATTTTGAAGTGATTTGAAAATAGTAGAATCTATCGTTATCGGAAACCGGGTCGGATTTTATGTTGGAAAGAGGTTGACTTTCAACCTCAAACCCTCGTCGCTCGTTTTACTCACTTGACTATGCTCATTCCACATTGGTGCTTTGTTGTGCATTACAAATTCGCGACGCAATGGGGCCGGTTGTGTCACGGTTGGCATTTGGCCATTCGGTTCAATTTTTCCGCGCTTTAACTGTGTGAATTGAAGTTGGAAAAAAATGGCAGCGACAAAAGAACGAGACAAAAAAGAGAACATAAAAAATCGATTTACATAAAAGAGATCAACAACAGCCATGCAAGGCTCTTATTGCTGCTGTTGTTGTTGGCGGTGTGGAAAAGAATGGAAAAGCAGTACCTTTTGACGAAGCTGTGCTTTTTGAAATGTTTCCAAGTCACGGTAGCTGTTGTATTTGCCAGGGCTATCTTCATTTGAATTGTTATGCGATTCATCGTCTGAACTTTCGACTTGTTGTTTTTTGCGATTTTTTCGATTCAACAACGGTGAGTTGAGTAAATGCCGAATTGGCGAAGTGCTTGAATTCCGTTTACTCTTCTTGCTCAACGCCGGCGATGCTGGCGAACTGCGTGGATATCGGCTATGCTGCGGTGACGATGGTGGATTCAAACGGCTGTGATTGTCGTCCAGATCACGCAATCGACTGATGATGTTCTCCAGCGTGGTCAAAGCCTGTGTGTGCAATGCCACAGGTGCTTTGGTGTCGTTAGACGATGTTTGATGTAGGTCGCTCTGTGAATCGGCTTTAATTAACTGCAAATTTTCCTCTTTCTTTCGTTTTCGAGCCTCGGAGAATTGCTTTAGTAAACTGATGCCGGTTTCAAATTTGCGACACAGCAACGGTGACGATCTGACATCAGAATTTGAGTATCGCGAACTGGTGGCCTCTTCGCCAAAGCGATGCTTTCGTGAAAATAACGGACTGTCGGTGTAGCTACCGGTGTAACTTGTAATGACTTCAGTGTTTTTCTTTGGTGGTTTCGCTTTGTTGCGTTCCATTTTGTTGCGGCCACTGCTGCTGTTGCTGTTGCTGCTACTGCTGCTGCTCGCCTTAATCGCTTCCGACAGCATGTGATCCAGTTTGGATGGTGGTTTTGGTGTGTTTTCGGTGAACGAGGAGATTGATGACTTGCTACTAGATGAATTCGAAACAGTCTTAATTTGATCAACGATTACGTTGGTGGACGTTTTTCGGCATTGTTCACACTGCATCAATTTGGTGGCATTTTGGCAATTCAAACAGAGCTGTTCGGTGGCACTTGACAACGCACCAATGATTGATGTTTCAATTAGTTTCGGTTGTACGCGTCTCACGTGGCTCGGTGAATCGGTTTCCGATTCATGGCCTTCGCACAGTTTCGGCATGACATTCGCTCCGCCGCCATCATTTGTGTTCCCTTTCACCGGAATTTCCTTGAGATCGCATGAATCCAAACTTTTCGACTTGCCACACTTAATCAATTTCATTTTTTTGGTTTGATTTTCCGTTTGTTTGGTTTTCTTATTTGGTTTCCGGTCAACGAGCACCAGTCGCTTGTTTGGTGTTTCTTTTCGCAACATGGATAACGCTTCATCCGATGGTGTGTCAACTGAATCGAGGTAACCAACGCTACAGCTGCGCGTCATCGACATATTCAGGCATGCCGGTGAAATCGAAACAACCGTAGTTGTTCGGTGCATATTCGTTTCGTTTGAAGAAGTTGCTGGCGCCGTGGTGGCGGTGGCAAGGGCAACACCCGATGCTGTTGGCGTATCATCATCGATATACTGTAAATCTTTCTTCTTTGAGTGTAATCGATCCGTTGTGCGGCTATTTTTGCCATTGGTCATCGCAGCATTGCCACCGTTCGATAGGTGCTGATTTGGCGGAATGTGTTGTGCGTTCGATTTGGATTGCTCGTTTGAAATGCTGCTTTTCGTGTGAACAATGCTGTTTGTGTAGTCATTGTTATTAATCGGATAATTAATAATAGCTGCAGTCTGAACGGCTGGTGGACGCTCGAAAATTGTATCACTTGGTCCAACAGCGTTTTTCGGCGATTGTAGTGTTGGCACAGAACCTTCACAACACAGCGGCGATATGGCGTGCCGTGATTGGCCGCTGCCATTCGACGATGATCTACTATATTGAGCTACAAAACTACTATAACTAGGACCTGGTCGGCAGCTCGATGTAATTGATGTTTCTATATGCTTTGGACGAATTGGTTTGGACTGTGATTGGCTTTGATTTTCCACATTTTGCTCACTGGACGCCACATCATCTTCGTACATTTCGGCCTTGGCGAGTGGACCGAGCAAGCTCTTCTTCTCCGTTTTCGACAAATTGCCATTCTTCGATCGTGATGGGAATCGGTTGGGCCGCGGTGACATTGGCGCTATCATCGGCGCACTTTCGTTTGCATTCGATCGCTTTTGATTCAACGCCGATTGCTCGTCTTCATCTTCGGAGAAAACATTTGGATTGAAATTTTGATCCGATTCCATTTCCTCAGCTGTGCAAATTGAATTTACGAAATGAATTTCAAAATTAAAATGCTTGTTTCAATTTGACAATGGAAAATGCACACATACTTTTCAAATGTAAGGGAAAATCATCACGCAATTCCGTTATGACCAGTGTCATTTGACGCGGTTGCAAGTGTAAAAATGACGTTTTGTATGTCACTTGACCGAGGTTAGCGGGTACGGTTTTGGCTAAACCATGGATTTTGAATTTGGTACCCCACAAATTGGACGTTACCTCCACCAATTTCACTTCTTCGGGCAGAGTGTCAACATAAGCCAAATCATCATTGGGATCGTTGGTGTCGTTTGCGTTTCCATTGGATGCACGGTCATTATTTTGATTTGGAAGTTTCGGCTGCTGAGGTGAATTTCGCCGTCGTGGTCGCGGTGAATTTCGATATCGACCCTCGTTTTCACTGTCGGAAGAATCGCTATGATTCACGGTTGAGCCACTCGAATCCGAAGAACTCTTTGCTTCAAAACCATTTTCTGTGTAATGATGAAAGACGTTGTTTGCTGTAACAAAAAATAAAAAATTAACGAACGCAATTGAAAGAAGGAATGCTTTGATTCGAAAAGCACTTCTCAACTTACGTGATACTTGCGGATCGAATATCACGAATTCGGGGCGAATTTTCGACGTCTTTTTGCCTTTTAGCAACGGCACCAAACCACCCAAATATTCTAAATACAATGTATAGCACACGCCAGATCCAACATTATTTTCGTCATCATGACGTATCATGGTGCAGTGTAGTCGAATTGAACACGACGGTGGACGTGAAACAAACTCTCTTAACGACTTCATATTCGGAACACAACACTGGCAAAGACGAACAAAAAAGGGAATGCCCATTAAACAAATTCATATTTATTGTACCACTCTAAAAATGAAATTTCTTTTCTGATTTGTTTTTCTGTTCTGTAAAAATGCAATGCTCACCCGTATGGTTTGTGAATACATATTTGTAATGAGAGACTTAATTCTCGACGGGAGCGGTAGTTTTGGGACCATCAATTCTGATCCAATGCAATTTTGCACTTGCAATCGGCACAACAATTGCAACGTTGCCACTTTCCTCGACACCCATGCGATGTGCACTTGCGTTCCCGTTGCAATAAATAATCGTTTATCACTGTGTCCCCATGTGAGTGCCGACACTGGGCTACTTGTGCTTGGTATGCGAGCCGTGTACAAATGGTAGCCAGTTTCCGTGTAGAATTTGACAACATTATGAAAAACAAGTGCCCCTTGTGAATCCATTGGCTGTACAGATTGACTGAGCGTTCCCGCCACAGCCAATAGCTCTTGTGCATTACTCCATTCCATTACGAAACCGATCGATCCATTCATATCCGTGTTTATGTGAACAGGTGAAACATCATCGTATGATTTGAGCAAATAAATGAATCCATTTTGAAAACTGACCGCTAATATGAAATTCCGTTTGCCTATGCAACAAAAATGGTGGAATAGGGTCGAATAAAACCGAAAATGGTTGGATGAACGTAATGAAATTCTTGTGTAATTTACCTGCATTAGTAACACCTGGATCATCTTCGCCCTCTTCCATTTTGAATTTTTCACAAGACCATGCCATTGACGTAATTTTCATGTCGGCATACAATTGTACCTGTGACACCATCGCTCCATGGACATCCATCACGATAATTTGACCATGGGCCGTGCCAAAGTACACTTGTTGATCGTCTGGCGTCCAAATGCCGCATGTTATTATCGAATCGAGATTCAGCATCGACGACCAATAACGTTGACCCGCAACCGAACCAACCAGCACAAATCCATCCTATTATCGAAATTCGAATTTAGATGTGTATCGTTGTAAACAGAGCTTTTTCTTTTATTTCCTGCCTCATTTAGTAGGCTTTCTCTTTTTACTACTTACCTGATAACATATCAAAGCCATACGACCATCATGAGACCAAGAGAAATGCGTAACGGGCGTGTTTCGATCATTTATCAATTCAATTGACCATCTGCCTTCGTATTTTATCCATACGAATATAATGCCAGTACTATCACAGGATGCCAGCTTTTGGTAGGGTTCGTTCCATTTCACTAACGTTACCTGCACATATACCAATATATATTACCATTTCCGTTCATTAAATTCAATAAAGAAGATGAACATGTTGTTGTTTGTTTTTCGTATCCAATTTTTTTTTTCATCTGCTCGCATAATAAACGAGCAGAGAAAGAAAGGGCAATTGCTTACGTCTGATCTATGGCCTCGAAGATTGTAATTGGTTCGCAGAGGATAGTCCATATTTTTTTTGCTCGTGGATGTTGTAAACGTGACACCAACAATGCCACGAATATTGCCCGTTGCCAGCCATCCTTCTTGGTAATAATTTGTTCGAGTGAGCTTCCATCCGTCCTCCTATTTCAATGGAAAATGCCAATTTAATTGAATATTAAATTTACGTAGCAGTAAAAAAAAAACAACAACAACAACAACAACAACAACAACAGCAGCAGCAACGGCAGCCGAGCAAAAAAAGAGGACGTAACAAGTGAACAAATGTAAGAAAAGTGTATTGGTTCTGGGCATCGAATGATGATTTTTTTATGATGTACGACAAAATGCTTCAAAAATCGATAAATGGCCTCCGGATGAGTCGGACGGCAAAAATAACTTCTCGATTAACAGAAACAACAAACCAAACAATCGAAGAGAGAGAGAGAGAGAGAGAGAGAGAGAGAGAGAGAGAGAGAAAGAGTATATAGCATTTACATTGATTGACCTATACGCGAATATTTCAATTGAAATGATTCTGGATTTAGGGTCACTTTAAAATAAATAACTGAAGCAACAAACAAACAAACAATGCTATAACTCGTCGACTCAGTAACCTTCATTTTATGTTTTCGGTTTGGAAATGGATTTTCTCATACAAAGAAAAAAAAGAATAACAGAACGAACAGAACAAAACCGTGGCACACACAGGGCATATTGATTATGGAGCTTCTCTCGCTCTCACTCTTTTGCCGCAGCTCTCCATTGAAAAATGCAAAGAAATGTGTACTGGAAATGGAAAAGGAAAGATTCGACACGACCGAAACAAAAACCGAACGAAGTAAAAGAAGAAAGTGATGAATAGTAAAAAGAAGCGAGAAAAAAAACCTCTATACAAATCAGAATTTATTTCTGTCTATTATTGTGCCTGACCCTCTCCATTTCCGCTGCTCGAACCAAGCAAATGCTATATATCCAATTCTATAAATAGATTGAAGTGAAATAAGGAGATTGCTGGATTCCGTTTATCATTCTTCGTGTGAATTGGTTGCAATGCATTGGCGGCTGGTACCGACCGATGATCGTCATAACACAAACACACATAGTACTACATAGACACACTTATGGAATGGAAGGATAAAACAACAACCAGTTTCAAAGGCATTTGACGTCAATTATGAGGTTCTATTAGCTCATTGCCACTGGCAAACGTGCCGAAGCAGTTGCAATCGAGCATTTTCCATTTGAACAAGAAATTTCAGTCGATTTGCTGTTTTGTTTTTTTTTTGACGCGGCACATCGAAAATTACATATTTCCGCAAAGTAATCCAATTTCGATTTGCATTTCCATTTTTTGCGCTCTTTGGTCCTTGTTCTTTTTTCATCCTTCATGAAATGATGAAGTGTTTTTATTGAAGAGTTCCGACACTATTATGTGTAACACCTGCACGGCTCATAATCGGGCGGCTGTGCACATGCGAAAATGTACATTCAAACCGAGTCATTTAAATAAAAATTGAATGAAAAAAAAACCACCCGCCCTCCATTCGTAATAATAATTTCATAAAAAACATCGTCGAGACATTTCATCTAGCCAATTTGGAGCTGCTACACAGTTGCAGCTCGGTAACATGGTGAATTCAAAATTGTAAAATATTTGCCGTTTGGTTTTCATCCCCCATCCAATTGTAGGTACTTTGTTGGGATTTGATTCATTTCCAATGAAACCCTTGCGTTGGTTCGTTTCACATAGTTCGGTCACCCACTGTAGGTGTCATGCATTCTGTTCCGATTTTTACGCCTCGTAGCTTACATTCGTGCCGTATTCGTATTGCCATGCACAAGATTGATTTAAATCGAACCCTTCATGCCGAATGGTGATGAAAGTCATTGAACGATTTGACATTTTCCGCACTGGATTCCATCGCTTGTTGCCAATGTAATTGAAAATCATTAGGTTTTTATCCGAAAGTGGTAAAATGCAAATATTATGTAGTAGCGTATTTATATACGCCTAAATGGGCGACCTGGAGGGGAGTAAAAGCATCATCGATAGAATTTCAAGTGCTTTGCAAGTGAGTTTAGTAGTAGCGTTTTACGGGGGCGCATATTAACGTCATTGAAACAAGTGCTTGGCAATTTTTTGACACGACAGGAACCCAGGATGAGAAAAAAAACGCCAACAGCAACAACAATATACGCAAATGCTCAAGTATCAATTTCCTTATTTCTTTGAAGAACTTTTGTGGTTTTATTGCAAGACATAAGCCACACACTTAAAAAAAACTGGAGCCATTGAATGCGAGCGCGCGTAAATTCAAGTGCTCGATTTCCAATACGCACGCTGTGTAAATATAGACTGTTCGGATTCGATATTCATTTATAGCACCAAATCGTGTTCTATTTAAAAATAGACACACACTCATGTATGATTCTAATACATGCGAGTACTACATATGAACAGATCTGATTACAAATGGAGTCTAGGTCTTCGGGTATAAGAGAAGAAAAAAAAACACTCGGAGACTCTTCGACGCGCGGGCTCCAGCTTACGCAGACACTGAATTTAAGTGGTGAAACGGCTTTCCGTTTATTTAAATGTGCATGAAAGGGTTTTTTTTATTTTTTGAATATTTGCCCAAATAACTCACAATTTTCCCTTTTTCGGAGATATTTCTTTTCCATTTCATTCCATTCCATTCCGTTCATTTCACTCTGACGACTTCATGCAATATTCACGTTATGCATCGACGTGCTCATTTGTACATAGATTGAGTACGGTTTTTTTTTTATTTCTGTTGTTAATCACGAAATGACACAATCTATTTTTATACACACGTAATGGCAAAGCGAACGCTTACAAATGCTGACAATTGCATGCTTTAGATAAAATCTAAGCAATGAAATTTAATCTGATTTTGTGTGTTTCATTTGTGGGAATTGTTCTAGTGACTAATTACGCGACATTCCAAAAACCAGAGAGAGAGAGAGAGAGAGAGAGAGAGAGAGAGAGAGAGAGAGAGAAACAATGAAATGAACAAAATCTAGATAACTGATAATAGGGCGGGGAGATGTGTTGAGAAAGAGCGCCAGTTGTTTACATGTGCTTGAATGAGATCGTTCACAGCAAACACGACGGTTCTAACTTTTAGAACCGCAATATGGAATCTGCCACTAAAATCCATTTAAGTAACATTTCTACTAGAAAAAGTTCAAAATATACTAAATCACAAATCAAAGCTTCATGTATTTATCATAGAACTTTTGAACTTTTTCTACAGCAAATGGTACTAAAACAAAGTTAAGTGTCAAATCTCAACATTGCTAGAATCATTGTGTTTACTGTGTTTAGGTCATGTCACGGCGCAGAAAAAAAAATCGATTAAATGCCGAAAAGTTTTCGGAGAGAATTCATCAACTTAATCACTCGGAAAAATTTGGTTATGGAATTTTCATAACTTGCGATCAAACAACAAATTTATGTTTAATCGGCGCGAAACACTCCATTGGAGCGACCGAAAAGCGATTTGCCGTTTTTCAACGGCTTCATTAAGGAGAATCTCATTATTTTCCCTTTTTTATTCACCTTTCGTGCTTTACAACTCGTGTAACGAATTCACGCTTTCTTTCTCTCTCATTCTCTTTCGCTCTCTCTCTCTCTCTCTCTCTCTCTCTCTCTCT